TCATGTTCAGCTGTATAGTGGATTGCATAATTAGTAGTTCAGAGAAATATGTATCTGCCAGTAGGCTACAGCCAAGAGTAACAATGTGGTGACATCGCAGCAGCTGGAAACTGCACAAGAGGTAAAGCTTGTTTGTGGCATCTCAGCTTTAAAGAGAGACAACAACCAGCGATGATGGCTACATCAAAGAGTGCAGCCACTGCAAGGCCTTTCATTTCGGCCAAAAACACACACACACACAAGGAAAACTAAATAGAAGCAGATGTACAGTGGCCCACAGTGCCAATGTATTACACAACAGAGCATTCACAAGCTTCACTGCAGCCGGACAACAACTTAATTACACACAATGGAGATGGAGATCAGCATTTCAGGTCTATTCCATCGTCATCTATTCGTCCCTTAATATTTGCATGTTTTTCTTTTTAATTTCAAAAGTGCATGGAGATTAGAGCTGCAACCATTAGTCAAAACAGAATTAAACCACAACTATTTTGGGAATTTGCTGCTTAACTGAATATCTCCGGCTTTGGGAGAGATGGTTGGTCAAAACCAGCATTTTAAGGATGTTGGATTGGGTTCTGGAAAAATATGTGGGGCTTAATGTCTCTTTTTTTTGGATTAAACAAAAGTACAGATTAATTAAGACAAATTATTATTATTATCTATATAGTGGTTTGTTGCAGCTGAAACATAAGTATGGCTGGACTTTTCAACCTTGTTATTATATCTGTTAGTTCATAAGAGAATTATAATAGTTCTATCTCAGTTGCATTGCTATAATTTTGATCCTTTTTTCTGTCTGAGAGTGTATCAGATACTCTCAAGTTTATTCCAATATAAAAAATTGTTAAATTCCTGAAAACATTGGTTATCCTATCCCATCCTACCCTGTCCTGTTACGGCCAATGATCCATGCCCAACACAAGAAGTCTGTCAGAGTGGACTATCTTCAAGTATGACTTTTGGCCCCTGATTTAGTTTTGGATTTTTGGTCATTTGAGAAATTTTAGTCTCTTTTCAGCTTCGGTGTAATTTAGGTCTTCTAAACATTTTGGCCGTAGCTGTTGCCATCTTTGTGTGAGGTTCCTGTGGGTAGAGAGTTCGGGTTTCAGGGTGTGTGCCAGCTATTACAAACCCAGCGGTCCGCCAGGCCTCTGCTTACGCACCATCAGCAACATCATTCGTTGCTGAATGGGAATGCCACATACATATACAGATGTAATATTTATATGGCATATGTCACTAAGTTCTTCAGTCGTTACCCCAGGAATCCACCGGGCACAGCTGCTCTATGCACTGCGTGGCTTAAATTAAAGGTCTATATTTCATGGAAGTTTTATCAAGCTGCAGGGACAGGCTAGGAGAACAGGAGGGCAGACACACCAATGAGAATCTGGTCAGATTTTTAAAATGGAGACCTCAAGCAGATTACACACTGTGGATCTAAAATGATTCTGATGGGGTTTTTTGTTGTTGTCGTTTTGTTTTTAAGCTGTGCTTAAGACAGAACAATGCACTGGGCTTCAGCTATCCTAATGTTATGCATTAGCATTTATTTAGTCTTTTTCTAATCTTACCGGACACTCAAAGGGCTTTAGACTACAAGCCTCATATCATACTGACTGTATAATACACTGATTTTTACCAAGGATGTCAGTAATTGTTATTGTTTGTTGTTCATGAAAACAAATAAAAACTCAAAAAAATAATTAATAAGGGAAAATGTATCTGATTTGCAGAAGCTGGCCATCAGACACCTTAAATCCACTGAAAAGATCAATATTTAGAAGTTCAAGAAAAGAAAAAATGTGTACAGATCTATTACGTGAACCTTGCTGGTTCTCATGCATAAAGAAGATAAAGATGAACCCTTTAACACAGAGCTGACATCATTGTGAAACACTCTGATATTGCAAAGGAAACATTTGCTTTCATGTCCCCCATTTTCTTTGTTTGTTTAAAGAGCCAAGAGCAAGATTTTTTTATTACTGACAGGGAAAATGGTCTCTACTGGTCCACAGTACCTTAAACAAATATTGATAAATGAAATGAACTGATCTGAAGGACACTTGAGATGCTCTGGTCTCGACTTGTTCTGGTCTCGTCTGGTCAACGTGTAGCCTGCAGTTCAGGTAGGCTGAGTTGACATGACTGACTCGGACAGTTGAAGATATTCTGCCTGTTCAGGATGAAAAGCTCTTTGGTGACTTTGCTGCGTGTTCTGATCAGATGTCGTCCAGTGTGTTTGGACACGTTTGGCTGAATCTGCGTTCATCCTGCTGCTTTGGTCTGGAGTGAAATCATTAATAAGAGTTAGTGTGCAAGTTCCATTGGCAGGAAGAAGCAGCACCATTTAATTGATGAGATGGGACTTTGGCTTATAAGATTTTCCTCCTCCCGTCACAGAGATCGATGGAGCTGGACGTGAATATTTGCTGTTTGTTGATTAGGTAGTGTCCACCGGTTCATTCTCTGTTGATTATCTGAGCCTGATTCATGGTGGCTGCAGTCTAAACAGAGATCCAGCACCTCCAGCTCTTCTGGGCTGAGACATGATCTCTCTGGTATGTCCTGGAGCCTTTTCTCTATTGGATATGCCTGAAACGCTTCACCTGGGACGATTCCAGGAGACATCGGGGTTAGATGATCAAACCTTCTGCACTGGCTCTGTTTGATGTGGATGAGAAGAGGCTACCAAATGACTGCGGTAGCAGCACCCAAAAAAAAAGCCAATTTCCACAGCTTGCATGCTTTCTGTCGCTGTCTACAGTTCAAGAAAGAAAGCTGCTGTTAGGAAACAGAGACGTTCACACAGACAATCACAGCCCGGTGATCCACAGTGAGATGTTCACATGCAGAGATATAAACATGCAGAACCACAAAGAGACCAGGGTCTGCTGACGGAAAATATCTTGGCTGAACATCTCTGCACCAAATCTGATTATTAGTGTGAGAGTGGGGCTTTGCAGCAGAGACATGCATTTCTCTAGAACTCTCACACATAAACACTGGCATTCAGGAATGCTTTCACACTCTCCTACTTAGTCCAAACCACTTAGGTTTGCAGAAATGGCCCCAGACCGTGTTGGTGTGGGTGGTGTGGTTAGGATGGCTGGTCTTTGCTCTTGCCTTAGCATTACTCCCCACTCCACCCTTCCCTCTGACTCATACGTGTAATGTACACAGTCACCGTGCAGCATGCTTTGCACCTACATATCAGTCAATCTGTATCTCACTGAGTGATTCAGGGTCACACACAGGGACTCTAGTGGTTTTCCACCTTCAAGCTTCCGGTACCCCACCACTCTGAAACATGCAGTTTCACTGACACTGTAAGATCATATCTGTGTTGTCATTTTATTTATTTATGTATTTATTTAGTTTGCAATAGCAGTGAGAGAAGCTGGACATTTTAGCCAGACGTCGAGAACAACTGAAACGACAACTTTAATGATTATTTATACACAGCTTTAGCTTTTTCTTGAATATTTTAAGTACTTATTCATTACTTTTAACTTTTTCATAATGCATCCATAAATTTCAGTCATGTATTGCTTTTTAATCTGCAGTCAAACTGTATAACTTATTATTTAAGGTCTTTTGTGTTTATTCTTCAACATTTAAATGCTTTTATTTGAATTTCAGCTGCCACATCCATTTTTTAGCCAGCTTATTTAAATATCTGTCATGCAGTTTTTGCTGCTCGTTTTCTCTTTCAGTTTCTTTTAAATTTAAATTTTTAACAACCCATATCTTTAAGCCCATCAACAGTTTATACTTTTAGATAACCAAGTCAGCTGATTACTCTTTACATTTCCTAAAAATCTGACTCATTTATAAAGCTTAAATCTTTGGATGCCTTTCTTAGATGATTGCTAAATAGGTTTACCAGCTTCTCACTGTCAGTGTGTACTGTTCAAGTATTAAAGCTGTCATGAATATTTATTCATACCTCAGTTCATAATTTTGAGCCATTGGATTCACATTCTCTTGAACCATTGTAGGTCTCTCTTGCGCATGCATACCTTCACAATCCTAATATCCTGGTCTACATTCAAGAATGACCTCACCTCCCGAGAGCCTCGTCTCAGGTTTCATGCAGAGCAGACCGACTCATTGTCCAACATACACACATACCCAGACTCTCTCTTTTAGCTCCCATACTCACTTATTTTGCACACAAATGGACTACGAGAGAAAGCACAGGATTGAACACGGAGCAAATGTAGTGTTCATTCGCACAGGAGGATAAAACGGAAGAAGAAGAATAAGTGAAGGCAAGGTGGGGGTGAGAAGGCGGCAAAAGTCCAAATTTGGAAAGTGAATCCATCACATCGGAGCAAAAGTGATTTTTATTACAAACAGCTGACCTCGAAGCCGTACGGCCGAGTCAGGTCCTGTTTTTCTAAGATAATTTCACGCAGGAGACCACTTTAAAGAATAAAGACGGCCTCTGGGTTCTCGGCCAAAATATGATGTTATTATGTTCAAAACATCAGGTTGGATATCAGGTTGGATAAATACAGGACCAAACCTGAGGCTGAAAGAAGTGCTCTCCACGCGTGTTTTCAGAAGCAGGTTAAAAGCTGACTTCTTTCAGAAAACATCCCAGAGATTCCTTATGGTTTGGGTTAAAGATGGCCACTCCAAATATCGCAACCAAGCATCTGTCTTATTTTAGCTTATTTTACATTCAGCTTCTCAAAAACAGCAACATGATTGGTTTATTCGATGATGAAAAAGAAGGGGTAAATGTCCATCTCATATATTTGATTTTCTCTTGATTAATGGTGCCACAGTTTGCACTAAGATTAAGATGAAATAAATAAAATATAAGTAAATAAAACTTAAAGCATAATTAAATCTACCTTAGATAACATAAAAATATAAATATGCTGAAATAATGTAATAAAAGGGTAAAAAAAAAATATATAACAACTACGCAAAATAAAAACAACCTCATTGGTTGATGTGCTTCTTCTATTGTTACTCCACAGTGAAGTACATCCGTGAGGTTTCTCCACTGTTCAAGAAGCCATCCCTGGTGGCTGACCTGCCGTGGGACGGCGTCCGCCCACAGTCACCCAGCTACAGCGGCAGCGATGACTCAGGGTCGCCCAAACACAGCAGCAGCTCCTCCTCATCCAAAGACAGAAAGGTCATCAGTCTGAAGATGTGCTTCATCTGCAGAAACCTCACCATGCCAGACCTGGAGAACAGGTGTGTGTGTGTGTGAGGGAAATACCTGTGTATGTGGGAGGTTGGGTGTGGTTGGGTGTGTAATCGTTTTCAGTGCCTAACCTCTGTTCATTAGATTGGAATGTTTGTTTTATAAAGAGATAAAAAGCACGACAGACACACTCCTGTGTCTTTGTGAATATTTAAGTGGGCCTGCAATGCTTTTCCTTAGTTTTTGTCATATATTTAGCGAAAGGATTCACCACTGTTCAGATATATATCAACAGCGGCGAATGCTTTCACCAAACATGGCCAAAGTTTCAAATAAGGAGACCTGTGTATATACAGAATGCTCCCAACACTGGCCAACAAGTTCTGTTTTTCTTTGTTGTGCTCCTGGGCCTGGTTAATGTCAAACAGAGGGCATTTCCTTTAGATGGTTATAGAAGGAGCTCAGCTCTCAGCACAGCGGCCTCCATCCACCTGCTCCGTGCGTCTCCGAATGCTTTCTACTCTGTTTGCAAATAGAAGGAAAGTGAAAAGTGAAGAAAAGTTCTAACTATGGATTTGCTGCAGTTTTGGCTGAGCTAATCCTAACACAGGGCTGTTCCATGTTGAGTCAGGTTGGGCAAGTTTAAAAACTAGAAGCCGCCAATATATGCGTGCATGCAGTGCCCCACCCCTGACACTCTTTACTGTATCTACTGAATTGTAAGAAATACATGTGTAAAATTTCAGAATTAGTTCTGATAGCTGTCCTGTAATTATAAACCGTTTTATTTAATTCACATAAAGTATGGTTGGCAATGGGGGAGGTCTTATCAGTAAGAAAAGCTGTAAAATAGGGGAGGGTCTGTGCTGACGGACGTGGGTTACTGACCTGGTAGCCTGGCTGGCCCTGGGTGGGTCCGGGATGGGCGTGAGGTTCTGGGGACGCTCCGTCTCTGGGCTGGGACCCGGACCGGGCCTCGGGGGCTTGGGTCCTGGTTGGTGTTTTGCCGGGGTTGTGGGCGGGTGGGTGCATGGGGGCCCAGCCCTGGAGCAGGGTGCCGCCGGTGCGTCGAGCCACCTGGGGGGCTCTTCAACTGGTGGGGGAGATTGTCACATCTTGCAGGAGCTTTCCTCTCCTCAGGAGCTCCCTCTGCAGGAGGGGGAGATACAGGAGAGGTGGAGGAAGATCTCAGCCTGGGTGTTTATTGTCTTATGTAGTCTGGAAGATGAGTGGATGGTGGGGTGGGTGCAGTTTTCTCTGTGGTGGGGTTGGGTGGACTGTCCCGGGCTCTGTGGGGCCGGGCGGCGCTGCTGCACTGGGCCCGGTCTGGATGGGCCTGGGCCCCTTTCCCTGGCGGGTCGCGGAGTATGGGGGTGCCTACTGGGGTCAGCGGGGGAGCTGGCCCAGGGAGGGGTCACTTGCCCCTCCCTTCCTTCCCTCCCCATCTCCAGCTGCCTCCCTCTTCCCGCTCCACCACAACCACCCACACATGCAGGGCCTTGGAGTAGGGGTATGTCACCAGGGTGCAGAGGAGGCTACCCCCCCCTCTGTCCCCTTCTGGCTGCCTCTGCCTCAATTTTATCCCACAACTTAGACATTCACATTACTCACACTCTCATTACACATACATATAGGATCTTGGGGGTGGGCACGATACACGGAGTCCAAAGTACCATCAGGGTGTACACCCCACCCCTGGCATCGTTGCCCACCTCTCAATTTTAAATACACGTAGACATTGAGGGCTAGCAGGAGGGACTATGCGCTTACCTGCTGCTCTCTGGCAGGTAGCTCCAAGCCCTCCTGGGTTTTAAATGCACCTTAGAACACACATGCATCAACATTACAATGAGCGGGTGGAGGGAGGTTTGGAGTCTTCTCTCACCCCCGTTCTCTGCGACCTGCTGGAGCAGGGGGGCTAGGACTAGGAGGAGGAGTTGGCCGTCCGACTGCGGTCTGGAGTGTGGAGCCTTCCTGCTGCTGCGGAGTCGGGGCGGTCTGCCTCCCCCCACCGCAGGGAAAAGGGAAACACCACCTGGGTCTGGGTGCAGTTCCCCCCTCCAGGGGCGGGGGCACCTAGACCCGGTTTGTAGAGTACGCTTGGGGAGTGTGAGCGTGTGTACAGCGTCTCTTTATGTCTGTCTCCACGTTGGTTGAGTGTGGAGTAAGTGCATATGAGAGCATGAGGGTGGGAATGGATGTTTGTATCTGTGTGTGCCTGTATGTCTGTGTCTATATGTCAGGTTGGGTGTCAGGCGCCACCTCTCTGGGGACATCTCAGGCCCTCCAAGGTTTGGAGGCCTATCTCCCCCTACCACCACTTCCCCTGCCAGTGGCGGACCCCCTCAGACATCGGTGCGTTGGTGGTTCTTTGTGTCCGGGGATGGGCGTCCAGGTACACACCGGCTCACTCCTTGGCGGCCGCTTATCGGGGCCTGGAGCCTGGGGCTCGCTCGGGCCACTTCGGAGGTGGGGTGCCCCCGGCCTCTCGGCCTGGGGCTCGGTCACTCAGGCGCAGCTGGCTGCCGGCGGAGCTCATGGGCGCGTCACTGCAACTCCCCTGGCTTCTGCTCCGCGGCTGCTGAGTGAGCCCTCATCTGGGACTCTCCTCAGCTCTTTCCGGGACAGTGGCGCAGCTGCCCCTCTGTTGGTCTTCCTTGGTCTCTTGTGTTCTGGGGGCCTCTGGATGTCTGGAGTTTTGATCTCCTCCACACCTGCTTCACGCCCTGGAGGACGGGGCTGTGGCCCCCCCACACCCTCTAGCAGATTATTACATGAAGGAACCTTTTAAAAAAACAAAAAACAAGCGCGTCCATGCTCACAGGTGTACACACGGGTGATCACACCCACAAACTACACCCTTTTTGGCTCCTACCTCAAAGCACACTGTGTTCTGTTGATCTTATGTGCTGCACAATAATGTTTAACATTTAGTATTTACTGTCATATTCCCATATATCATTGTGATGTTGTTTATTCTATTACTCTTGTTCTCTTCTGCTTGCTTTCTTTTTTCTTTCTCAGCAGGTGATCCAGGTGATTGATATATGCATTTTCTTTTTCTTTTTTTTCCTGCCCGTTCTGTTGGTTTTTGCCCTTCTCCCCCGTCCCTCTTCTCAGCTGTTTCTCTTTCCCTCTTTCTTTCTCCCCTTCTTTCCCCCAGTCAAGTCTGTCCCGTATTCAGTAAGTGAAAATAAAATAAACAATAAAAGGTGAATCAAATGGACCATTACGGCAAGGCTGGGATGGTCAATTTGGTAAAGTAAATCCGTTGGGCATCTTTCTTTGCCTTTAGACAACAATTCTGATGGCAAAAGAGCCAAACGGGACAGGCAAAAAAAAAAAAAAAAAAAAGAAAAGCTGTAAAATTAATGAGTTAAAAGTCCAGAATTTAGTCTTTGATGGGCCAATTATGGCTGCCCAACTGTTTGACAGCAACACTTGGGGATGAAGTTGTCATTATATATGGGTAGGCGTCCTGCAGTGTGCAGCTACTTCAGCGCGGGCTCTGGGATAGCTCGTTAGTTCAGAAAGTTCTCGGACATGGGAACAAGACTTGCACACTGGCTGTTTGTTCTGCATGACTTAGCATCCACCGTATAGTGCCAGTTCTCTGTGTCGCTGCATCTCCCGTGTCTCTCTAGTGCAACGCAACAAAAACTGAGGAGAGACTCTTCCCCGGTGCTGTTCAGCAATTACAATAATAATTATTACCAGAGTTTAATTCCATAAAATTAGTGAAATAAAAAGTGACAAATCAAGTAATGGACTCACCTAATTGTCCAAGAAAGAATGCAGAAGTACAAATGTTTCTCTGTGTTTATCGCGCAATAAATAGGAGAATGGTGGAAAATGTCCAAGTAAAGCAGCACCTGCAGAAAAGGCCTATTCCCTTTAAGCCGGTGGGTTATAGTTTAAAAATTGCACCTTAAAAAACATGCCCAGATTCAGCCGGTTACAGCTGCAAATCTGCAGGGCGAATGAAAAACGTCTGGCTGTTTGGATAACAGACACTTGGGAGAAATTTGAAACACAATGAGCCTTCTTGGCCGCGTCACCAGGTCAGAGTGAGATCTGAAAACTGCCAAAGTAAAACCACACTGAGTCACTCACACTGATGTTATCGTAGCAGTTCTATAAAGCTCTACCACTACAGCTCCAAAGCGTAACACAACGAGTGCTGCGTCCATTTGATTAGTTTGATATTTCAGAAGGACAGACAGGTCTGAGGAAATGGCACACAAGAGAGGCACTGAGGTATATGCACCTGTTACCAAATACTAAAGGGTATTAGCAATGATACAGCAATGATAGCTGATTGATTACAAAAGGATTTTAGAGGTTAATGTAGTATCACCTTTCACTAAACGGAGTCACCAAAATAAGTTAATAAAGCATTAAAAAAAAAAAAGTCAAATTCACAAGCGATATCTTCCAAAGAGGACTGTTATCTTCATCTGTCATTTATATTTGGTGGCAGCACAAACAGAACAGCGAGAACAAAGCAAAAACAGACATCCCCTTGATTAGGTATGAAAAGGAGGAACTGAGGCGGAGGTGCATTGCAAAGCAGCTTGCACATGTGCAGCTGTGCAGCAACGGTGGGCAGGCTATAAGAAAGTGCCCAACCAATGGGGGATGGCATTGAGATGCACTCATTCTCTGGGATTCCTGCTGATCTGTCACCTTCAGCCACATTATGATTCTGTTCAACGCTGTTTTTTAAGTTTGAACTATTCCTGCCACAAAGGTCTTAGCAGGCAAACATACAGGGGGAAGAATTATAATCTGAGTTTTAACAGTTAGTTTCCATAAAGATGATGCAAATCCTAATTGTTGCTCAGATAAACAGTGAGTCGCCCTTTTGCAAATCGAGTCTGCGGGAATCGATCGAAGCGTGTTTGTGAATATAACTGCTGAGTGGGTGGAATTTTATAGCGAGGAGTGAGCTGGATTTCTGAATCATCAGCTTGAAACACAAAACTAAGGAATGCCAGCTGCAGTTAAAAGCTCTAAACTGCAGCATGCAGCAGTTAAATGATTATTTACTGAGGAAATTAGATTTAACTTCATCATGAATAACCCACTAGAAGGTACTTGGTTTTAGTGGCTACCATCACTTCCTCCATTTCCAAACTGCACTATTCTTTTACGGCTCATTGTTAGGTAATTTTAAAGAAAGTGACCTTTTAATCGTTATCATAATTATTGAAGTCTGATCTAGTTGATGATTCCCTTTTCTCTCATCCAGACTGTTAGAGCTCCATTCCCCAGACGGCCAGCACACGGTGGTGCTGCGATGTAAAGACGGCCCCACCGCCAACACCTGGTTCACTGCCATCCACACCAACATTGCCGCCCTGCTGCCACAGACCTTGGCTCACATCAGCGCCTACCTGGGGGCCTCGACCTCAGCCTCCACACACCCCCATCTCAAACACATCGGCTGGCTGGCTGAACAGGTATTTTTACCTGCGTGCTGTACTGTACATGAGTTACTACATTAAAAAAAGACCAAAAAGCCCCAAAACAACGACACACATGACCAGATGACTTTGAGCTGGAAGACAAGCGGAGAAAAAGTTTTCGTTGCCAGGTTTTGTTGCTTAATGGATGAACTGTTTGTTTTGAACCCTCTCTTGCTCTGTCTCTACTGAGGCTTTACTTTCACTTTCTATCACCCTCTCTTTTTGCCCGATGTGCAGCAGCATGGCTCTTTAACAGGGCAGAATTTCCATAGTTACCCCAACTGTTTCACCACCCACCTTTTAGGTACCTGTGAAAAGCTACCAAAGGCCACTGTGTTGGGGAAAAAAAAATACACTGTCACCCGAGCCTTAGTTTTCCTGGGATATTTTTGTATCCAGCAGCAAAATTGCATCAAAGCTTAAGGAGACCCAGTGTAAACACAGATCCACCTCTACGCACTTTGTATTGTAAGTAAATGCACTTATAAAAAAACAGAAGAACATACAATGAATGCGCAAAACACAGACTGCATGAGAGGGTAGACAATAGAGGCATGTAAGGAAGAAGAGGTGCTCATTGCATGATGGGAAGTCCCCCTGCAGTGGGAAACTATGCTAGCATAGCTGAAGGGGTCGTTCAGAGTGACAAGAACCAGTCCAAACTAGAAGATTTATCCAAAAAGAAATCATCCAGAGAGGGTGCCTGTCTCCTAAATCCAAATTGAGAGCTGGGTCCTCAGAAGAGGTACCTAATAGCTGAAGGCTCTGCCTCCTACTCTATGTTTAGAAACTCTAGAAATTCCAAATAAGCCTGCATCCTGAAAGCAAAGTGCTCCACAGGGGTAACATTATGCTGTGAAGTCTTTAAGAGCGTTCAGGACTTTTTATGCAAGGATCAAAAATGTAATTTAAATTCTGGAATTAACAGGAAGCCAATCTAACTGAAATATTTTTGTATTCATCATCAGTATGTCTACATGGTAGAAAGTGGAAATCCAGGGTATTATTAGTACTGATGAATAGAGTTGAAGCACAAGCTGCCCTCAAGAGGAAATTGCATCTGTGGTTTTCTTTGTTGCTCGTATGTCACTAAACAAACCTGACGCTCAGACGTGGAGGCTGGCACTTCTGTATGTGAAGCATATTAGCCTCAGTCCTAACCTCTCCACGTGGCCTCTGAAAGCAGGGCTATACTTTTATCGCACACAGGAACAGTGACTTCACTTTGAAGTGTCTAGTTCTGTATATTTTGACCGGGCTGGAACAGGAAGCACAGATAGAAGTTTCCCTTGTTACGTTATATCCTGCAGAGCCCACCTCTGCACCGCAGACACACTCTGTGTTTTAGTGTTGCTGCTTTTCACTGAAAAAACTCCAGTCTCGCAGTAATGACTCGGATGAACACATTGCCCTATTTTTACCACGTAGCTAGAAGAAAAATCAGGTCAGGTTGTCACGATGACCTGATTAACTCCTCTGCTACACCTGTACTCTGTAAAAACTACATCATTACATTAGCAAACTGCACCACAGCATCCATATCCTGTCAGACTACACCCCCTGTTATACTCTACGGCAGCACGGTGATGTAATGGCTGTAGCACTGTTGCCTCACAGCAAGAGGTTCCTGATTTGAACCCTGACTGGTGTAATTGATCTAATTGGCCAGATTTTTATCTACAGAAGCATCATGAAACCTTTTCTCCCTTCATAATTAACATGATTAAAATTTATCAACCAAAGCCTGCTTTGTTTTATAATCTGTTCACCCATACCTGTGTAAACAGCAGGATTGGAGAAAAGTCAGTGGAAGTGAAAAACAAAAAATGTCAGCTCTACCATCTCTACTCATCATCATCATCATCAACTTTATTTATAAAGCACTTTAAAACAACCACAGCTGACACAAAGTGCTGTACATTGGAACTGTAAAATAAAATTACATGAGATATAAATAAAAACCAAATAAAAGAAGAGTGAAATCATTAATTAAATAACTACTTCAATTAAAAGAGAAACTAAGTCTCACTGAGGTTAAAAGCCAAGGAATAAAAGTGGGTTTTAAGACGTGATTTAAAAGTGGACAGTGAAGGGGCCTCTCTAACGTGAATGGGCAAATTATTCCATAATTTTGGAGCCACAATAGAGAAGGCCCTGTCCCCTCTGAGCTTCCTCCTGGATCTCGGTACCTCCAGGAGCAGCTGGTCAGCTGACCTGAGAGACCGACAGGGTATGTGGGGATGAAGAAGCTCAGAGAGGTAAGGCGGGGCAAGACTGTGAAGGCATTTAAAAACAAACATAAGAATTTTAAAATTAACTCTAAAAGACACAGGCAGCCAGTGCAGAGAGGCTAGCACGGGGGTTATATGCTCTCTTTTTCGAGTTCCTGTTGAACCAGCTGCAGACGTGAGAGCAACGACTGACTGACCCCCACATAAAGTGAGTTACAGTAGTCCAGGCGGGAAGAAATAAAAGCATGGATCACTGTTTCAAGGTGCTGCCTCGAAAGAAAAGATTTTACTCTTGCCAGTCGCCTTAAATGATAAAAACTGGACTTCACCACTGCTCTGATTTGGTTGTCCAATTTAAAATCACTGTCCAACTTAAAACCAAGGTCAGTAACAACAGGTTTAAAATAGACTTCCAGGGGTCCCAAATCTACAGAGGACGACTCAGAGGTACCACTGGGTCCAAACACCAACAGCTCTGTTTTCTTTTCATTAAAATTTAAAAAGTTTAGAGCCAACCAAGCTTTAATGTCATCTAGGCATGTCAAGAGAGGTTTTATGGAGATGCCATCCCTGTGCTTTAGTGGCAAATAAATTTGGCAGTCATCGGCATAACAATGAAATGAGATCCGATGCCTTCTAAGGATAGAACCCAGAGACAATGGATACAGTGAAAAGAGCAGTGGCCCTAAAATTGAGCCCTGTGGGACGCCGCATGACAGAGGAGCAGAAGACGGTTCGTAACCGAGAAGGCTGACAGAGAAAGTTCTATCTGACAAATAAGACCTAAACCAATTAAGTGCAGTGCCACCAATATCCACTACATCATGTAATCGAGAAATTAGAATATTGTGGTCTACTGTGTCAAAGGCAGCAGTTAGGTCAAGCAAGACAAGAACAACATGGTTACCAGAATCACATGCCAGAAGGATGTCATTCAAAACCCTTAATAATGCAGATTCTGTGCTGTGAAGGGTTTTAAAACCTGATTGAAAAACCTCAAAGATTCCATTTTCATCTAGAAAATCTTTCAGTTGACTAAAAACAATTTTCTCTAAAACCTTGGAGACTAAAGGCAGCTTGGAAATAGGCCTATAGTTCGCTAAAACTGTGTGATCAAGGCCAGGTTTCTTAAGCAGTACTCAACGTTCTTCTTCAGGTCCAGCTAGAAGGTGGACGCCAGCAGTTTAGACCAGTGGTCATGGCGCTGACCGAGAAGGACATCCTGCTATTTGAATCGGTGCCGTGGAGCCGAGAGTCCTGGTCCATGCCTGTGCTCACACACCCGCTGCTCGCCACCAGGTAAACACACCAGCAGTTACATTCAGTCTTTATTCACATCTTTACTGACAGCTCTGCTTTCAGATTTTTAGTTTTGTGACATTTTTTTCTTTGTCATATTTTATCAGATGTTTCAGGTTTTTAAAAGTCTTAAATCCTTAAAAAGAGCTTTATGCCATTGACAGTAATAAGTATATATATGCTCTGTAATGTATTATATATAATAAATAAACCTTTGTTATCATACGATTTTGATAAAATTGGTTAAAAAAAAATTGTTTTTGAAAAGAGTCTGGCTGCTGAACAGAAACATTTATGATATTTAACCTCCGAGGACCTGGCGTCCACATATGGGGACATCACATTTTGGGTTGTCTAGACCAAAGCACCAAATTTTGCTCTACAACGGCCTGATGTCCACTTACGAGGATGTTATACTGCCACTGTTCTATCGAAATTTAAAACGAATGTCCACATGTGTGGATTTTTTTTTTTTTTTTTGAAACAAAAATCAGGTAAAAATCAGGTTTTTACCTTCATCAGGTCCTAATCAGCCCAAATAGCAAAGAGAAATTGAAAGTGCATGCCGTGAAAGACTTCGGGTCCTTACATTCTGTTTGTTATTACATTTGTATTCGTAAAGTGGGTTTCATTTTCACTTTCATTGTGCAGACGTTTCTGCTTTTGCTAAAAATGAGAACTGTTGGCCTTTGAGCCTGAGCGTGAGTAAATATTCAACAGCAGATCAGCTGAGTGTCAAAAGAAACTTTCCTGGAACTGCTGACGAGCTGTAATTTTTGTGGTAAGTACCTGGAAATTTCTAGTTGCCGGCATCAAAGGAACTCCTCTCAACAGCAGCAACTAATCTTTTCCAAATCTCTACCGATGGGAGGGGGCAGTGACCCACAGAAACATCATAGATATGTTAACTGGAAGAACGGCTGGTTGGAAGAAAGCAGAATTATCTTTGATTGCAATTACAGCAGAATACATTGTGCCTTTTTTCTTTATAATCAGGAACTGCAACGTAATGACGTTAATGCTGCATTTAGTTGGGTTAAACGGACAAACACAGGCCTGACTTGTTGGGAGACAAGCTGAAGATTTTTGCATGCTCTTGCAACATTACAGATATTGTGGTTTCCACATGTTGACCAGAAGAAGAAGTATATAGCACAGGGATGAGTTGGAGAATCATTAAATATGTAGTTTGGGTTATGGGGAAGTAAAATGAACCCTCCTCTGTCTTTCTTCCTTCAATAACGTTCTCTTTGCCTGTATCGTCATGTCTCCCCAGACTGGTTCACTCAGGCAGCGCCCGCAGTTCTCCCGCCCAGGGTTCAGACCTGGTGTTTGCCACTCGGACTGGAACGGGCCGGGGCATCGAGTCCCACATCTTCCGAGTGGAGACCCACTGGGATCTGTCATCATGGACGCGAGCCCTCGTGCAGGGGACGCACACGGCCGCTGAGATCATCAAAGAAGTCTCCATTGGTGAGTGGGTGTCATTTATAGTCTTTAGTTTGGAGATCATGAGCAAAGCTGAAAACACATCAAGCAAAACTCACAAGCTGTGGCCCACACCAACTGTGAGCATAACAGTTTTAGGGTCTGAATGATTGCCTGTTTTGTTTTTCTTAACATCCACTTGCTATTTTAAATAATTAGCTCACAGTTTCAGGTGCAGCTGAATTAAGTGCTTCATGGAAACCTAAATGTGTCGTCATAACTGGCATTAAGATAAGTGTGAACCTGCAGCCACCAGCATGTAGCAGAAAGAGACGACCACACGATAAAGTACTGACAGGGGTATCTGAGGTCAGGTGTGCTAGCAGTATCTGCAGCTTTAAATGCTAACTCTGCTAGCAGCAATGGCTGATGAATAACAGGTGACGCACTGCTGTAACAGGTGGCAATATAATACAATCACAATGGTCTCTTGAAAATACTCTATTGATAATATAAAATTAGTTTGGCTTTCTGATTCATTTACCGCACGGTCAGCCTAAATGGTTATAAAAAAAAATCATAGGCCACTTTGTTAGGTACAAGTGTACATCACAGCTTTTTGACATGTGGATATGGCCAAGACCTGCTGAAGCTCAAACTGAGCATCAGACTGGAGAAGAGGGAGAGAAACTGCTGATCAGCTGGATCGTGACCTCCACATGTCATGCTGTCGTGACACAGTCATGTCATATGGACCAAAACCTCTGCGTTCTTAACCTCCTAAAACCCGAACTCTTTCATGGCATGCATTTTTAATTTCTCTTTGCTATTTTGATTTATTCTTTAGTATTTGGTGTCTGAACACAGCAGGATTTTTCCTGAGTACAAAAACAAAATGAGAAACAACAATTGTGCCCCTTTGAGCACTGTGGCTCATTTGAAAGAGCAAAACTTAGTAGTGTGGTCCAGACCAGCAGTCGCCAACATTTTTTGTGCTACGGAGTGGTTTATGTCTGACAATATTTTCACGGACCGTCTCGCGGATAAATACAACAAAATAAAACCAGTACCAAAAAAAGAACATTTAATTACAACACACGTGAAAAGACCCAGGTGACCCAAGTCACCTGGGTCTTTTCTGACAGTGTATCTTATTCCAAGTTTACAATAGGTTGATGGTTTTGTGCCCACAGGAGGCACTTTATTATTCTGTACAAACACAGTGGATTACGTCACTGTGGCATGTGTACGTGTTTCGATGTGTGTGCTCTGTGTTGGTACACACATGTTAGCAGAAGCGTGTTGTAAGCAGACCTTGAACCAGAGGATGTGGGTTCACCTTTACCTCCTTCCAAGTAAATGTTAAGTGGAAATCAAGAAATATTAGTCAGTGAACTAAACAGTCTATGCCACTTGAAGAAGAGCAATAGAATAAAGAGATAAAATATTTCCTGTCTATAGGCCTGTGTACTTTGGACTGTGACAGGAAGCTTCTGACAGCAGCTGACTCACAACAGTGTGCCATCGCTCAGAAAGAGCAGCTCTGTGTAGGAAAGGCAGAAATGGGAGGCAGCAAAGGGGAATGTTTCCACTCTGTGCAGAACAATAGTTGGCTGCCGGAACAGCACTGGAAAGCCTCAGCCTTTTTTTTTTTCCTATTCTCCTTCCCTGTCCCGCTGCTACACAAACACACAGTTGTGCAGAAACATTTGGGCCATTCAGGTTACAGTAATGCGCATGGAAATGCTTTCAGATCAGATGACCTCACGGTCACGTTGCGGCAGGCTGCCTGGATTTTTATATAAAACACAAACTTGTCTTTGGACTGCAACTGTTAATCAGCACTGTTATTGTAAGAGTGGATTTGTTACAATAATAAATCTGACTTCATACTCAGTTTGATACAAAAGCTTGATGTTCATTTATGTGTAAACAAATCAGTTTCAGTTGTTTATCACTCTTTGTGTTTTCCTTAAATATTTTACTGCATTAAACTTTTTGATTTGTTGTGTTTTGAAAAGTTTAATGAAAAAAATTCATTTGAACATAGAACTGTTTAGTTTTAGAAAACTTCACATAATTGAGAAACTGGGAAAGTAATAATAGAATGAAAAACATTTTAGTTTCAGCCCAACGTTTTCCAGAACCAGCCTCTGCACATCTGCACTGTTACATTTCTCCCTGTGACTCACCTGTGCACTAGTTTTTCTTGAGCGCTTTCCCCTGTCGCCCTCTCCGCTAGGTTGCACATTGAACAGACAGGAAGTTAGGCTGACTCTACACTATGAAAAAGGCTTCACTGTGACGAGGGAGCCAGCCGACCCGAGCGGGGGGGCTGTGCTGTACAGATACCCCTACGAGAAGCTTAAAATGTCTGCCGACGATGGAATACGCAACCTGTACCTTGACTTCGGAGGTCCAGAGGGAGAAATGGTAAATTGTAGTAAAGCAACTTGTCAGTTTATGAATGTATTGTGAGTGGAAAATCTTTTTAAACCTAAGAATGTCAAAAATATTCCTAAATCTCAGTTTTATTAAAACTTTTGCGTCATGCTGAAATATTTATGTACCAAATATACCATGTGTGTATATAAGAGATGGTCGTAGCTGCCATGTCGTCTCCGGTTAGTTTCTGAAGTCTGTTCTAAATCCACAACATTTCTGCTGTGTTGATTGTGACAAGCACTGTTTCCTCTAAGCTGAGCGCGCTGAGTGCTGACACAGTCTCCCCACACAGATAATCTGCGCTGTGCACAAAGAAAAAAGTCCAGCCTGAATTGGAATTAAAGTAAGACTGTGTCAGCAGTGTACGATTGCTCACGCGCTCAGCTTAGAGGGAACAGTGGTGACAAGGCGGGCGGGTCCAACCAATGACTTGTCTATCACAAGTGGTTAGCCAACGTTTGACCAATATTTAAATAACTGAATTTAATAGTTTAAAAAAATGACCCAAAGCGCGTGACTGAGTCCATAAAGTCCTCAGCAAGATTGCTGTTTTCCGTAGACTTCAGTAGGATTGAAAGTGTGTTTGCAGCCCCTGCTATCGCCATCTGGTGGCTTTCAGGTAGAATGCAGGTTTAGGACTGGCTTCATTTTTTCAACACAGAATCTCCATCAATGTTTTTTTACCGTCTGCGTGTTGAAACGCTAAACCAGCCGAAATCATGTTGAGTTTTTCATTATGGGGAAAAAAGAGAAAAGAATGTCAACAAGAAGGCGAACTGAAGCTAATGGTACATGAATAATTACAGTTCATTTATCATAAAGATGTGAAAGCTCACTTACCCGTGCATTACAAACAGTAATTTACATTACAGCAGTCAAACTGACCGGAAGCCCACTTGCATATTTTAGTTTTCCGTCTACCAACTAGCCTGAGAGAGCTGGTATGCCTAAAGAACCTCCACCACATAGCTGTTCCAGCTGTGCCACACAGTATGCAGTAGTGGATAGTGTGCCGTTAATTCTGTTTTTCAATTGTATTATGATGTCAGACTTTTTGAGATACTGTCACTGGTTGTAACATATTGTGATTACGATTTTATTTATTTATTTATTTATTGTGGACTATATTCCTTAGATTAAGAAATTACATTTCCATCCACAGAAGGCAAGTCAAAGTGCAAATAAAGATCAGTAAAATTAAATAATATGAAATAAAATTAAGGTAAAATGCAACCTGTCAGGGATCTGTAGAACAGGAATAAAGATATTTCTGGTCAGTGTTATACAGTAAAATACTAAAATGTATTTTTTTAACTGGAAAACTGTTTCTATTCAGCCCATTTCATTAAAGCTGGAATATTTTCCATTTTCCATAAAAGTGTTGAGGAACAAATAAAACAATAATCTGCATTTGAATAAGGGAATATCTTGGATATCTTGAATTTTTCTTTTCTTCAACTTCCTCCCTCCCTCCACCCTACAGGTGTTTGATCTCCACTCGGGTCCAAAGCCAGTGGTGTTCGTCCTGCACTCCTTCCTGTCAGCCAAACTCACTCGCATGGGTCTTCTGACGTGAAGCCTGCCAAATGCTGACAGCGTGGATGAGAGGATTCTTTTTTCTTTCTCGTTTTCATTTCTTTTTAATATCTTGTTCGTTTTTCCAACTTGTCCGCTCACAGCTGAAGTCAGGCCTGGCGTGGTGCTGCAGGGGGAACCTTAACCCAAGGAGGTGCTTTGTCTGATTGTCTCAAAAATGTGCCTTCTCTTCCAGCTTCTCCTCGGCCCCTTGTGGTCAGCTGCGTTGCGAGGCGAGGTACAAGGAAGGGGCACTTTGTTTTAAGTCACGAGGTGAAGGGAGACTGTTTTCACAGAAAACAAAAAGTGTGTACATATATATAGCAGTTAACAGTCTCATAACATTCCACGTGATTGTGGGGCTTTTTCTTTTTAAATATATTTCATTATAAATATCCGATGAGATGTTGATGCAGCCGATGTGCTTATGAGATTGCAGCACTTGTGCGCTCTAAGAAACGTGTTAGTGAAGTGCATCGAACTAAAGGAAGGCTTTTTTAACTGACCAAGCGCAGATTGGTAAATGCTCCCAGTTTTTACTCTGCCTATCATTCCACGACAGCCTTCTGGTGTATTTTGGGCTCTTTTTAAAGCGTGCGTGTTTGTCTTTGTGAGAGGAAGACGCTGCTTTAGAGTCGCGATGCAGTTACCCGAGCGGAGGTTGTGCGCGTGAAAGATTTCTGCGGACGAGTGTGTCTTTCCTCGCTGCACGCTGCCGTTGGCTTGATAGTGTGCCTCATAGTTTTAGCACATTATCCCAAACTACTGTTGTAATCAGGATCACCAACTGTGCCTTGTTACTTGTAGTCAGAGACACTCTTTATAGTGTTCCCTTTTTTTTTAAATTCACACAATAAGAGAATTTTACGCTTCAGTCATGCACAAGCAATAGTATTACTCTTATAGTGTAAACAATGTTACGATTTTTTTAGTGTGTATCTCCTGAAAGCATGACTTCCTGATGTTTATATATGACGATTATATATGACATGACCGTGCGTTACCTCCCCCACCCGCGACTCAGACACCTACACTACCACATCGTCTCATCTCATTCTGCTTCGCTTGTGATTACACCTCTCTGGTTGCCATGCCCACATCAGCATTTGTGTGGTCAAATACCTTTTAACAGGAGCGTCACATGACAGTGAGCTGACAGTGAACTGACAGTGAATGTTAAAACTGCCTCACCTCCTAAAACAAAAACAAAAAACAGATTCAGGAAAGTTGTAATATCTTATTTCTGGGTGATTGAATGTTCAAAGATCAGTGTTCCTCTGGAGTACCATGAATGGCCGAGTTTACCCAACAAGTTCTACAGTGAATTTTTCTCATTTTAAGCACCCAAAGTGAAAAATATTAAACCTTAACAGAAGTTTAAAAAAAGTCTCTCATATTAGGTGGACCTGTTGCGCTCGCTTCCAGCTCTTTATTTGTCCTCTAGCACAGCGGTCCCCAAACTTTTTTGCGCCACGGACCGGTTTATGCCCGACAATATTTTCATGGACCGGCCTTTAAGGTGTCGCGGATAAATACAACAAAATAAAACTAGTACCGGTACCAAAAAAAAGAAAATTTATTCATAACACATGTGAAAAAGAGCTAGGAAAACCGAGTAAACGATAAAAACGATAACAAAATGACGCTGAAAACCGATTAAAAACCCTGAAAACCATACATTTCACACCTGAGCCTCAACTCTCGCGGCCTGGTACCAAATGACTCACGGACCGGTACCGGTCCGAGGCCCGGGGGTTGGGGACCGCTGCTCTAGCAGTCAGTTTAGAGTTACTACTCTGCCCTCTTCTTTCAGCCAGACGTTTTTTCTCCTGTCTCTTTAAGGCTCCCCTCCCCATAAATCAAACTTTCTTCTCATAGGTCCAATTCTGAAAGCCTGAAGAAAGGCAGCACCTAGAAGCCAGCTATGAAAGCCCATGTAGCTTATTGAAAATCTTGTATGCAATCAGCTGGAATTTCCTTGTTTTTATAGTCACCTCAGTTTAGGAATTATTGTCTCATAAACCTGTGATCCCAGTTTGAACCTAAAGCAGAGAGCAGTTTGAAGTCTCAGCCAAATTATGTGAAAATCTTTATTTTTTGCCTTGAAGTCAGATTATTATTAAACTAAAAGTTCGGCACTCTGTTTGGTCAAGTTAATGAGCACAGAGGAAATGATGGGTCCAAGAATAGAAAGTGTCAGTCCTTCCTCAGCTTCCTTGTTTGCTCGAAATAATCAGCCAGCTTAATGACTCATTCTGTAAAAACAGTTTCTTCATTTAACAAATATTGTGACTCTGCTGCCAAAGACCAACAAAGCCGACAAACGTCATTTCGATATTTCCAGTTTATCAGACTGACAGACTTCGTGTTAAGCAGCCAGGTGCACATGTGGTGACCACATTTAAATTTCATTTTCACTCACTCATGGGTTGAGTTCAAGGAACAAAAAAAAAAACAGGATGCAAGGTTAAGAAAAGAGTATATGTACACATGTAAAAAGCTCTAGTTTGATATTCACCTAACAGAAACCTTCTGCTATAACCTGCTGCAGATGTTTGTCCTCCCCACTCTTTTTTTTTTTTTTCCAGATTAGATTTGATTGAGAGTTATGATTCTCAAACTTAAGCCCCCCCCTCAGCAACCTTTCAGAAATCAACCAATCAGAATAAAGTTAGCCTTTACTGAAAGGGTGGTGGTGTCTTTTAAGGGCCTGTGGCTAAAATTATACATTTAAAGCAGATCAAGACTCATCTGAGGGTCTAGTAGATAAATTATCTTTTTTTTAAACTGTAAATCAAGCAGAGCTACTCTTGTGGAGTCCCAGAATAAAAATATCGAGTTGGAAAAGAGCAGCAGGTGTTCCCTTTAACATCAACAATACTGATTATAATGCAAAGTTAGCACAGGGAAAAAGAATGCCAGCCATTCATTCTTGTTCATCCCTCCGATGTGCTAAAATTGTGTTAAATGTTGAGAAATGATGAGCGCTTGTAAGTCGTATTGGTCACTCGCAGCAGTGTTGGTGTTCATGTAGTCAGTGTGCTGACAGACACAATGTGATGCACGTGATATTTAACTGACTGAACCAGATTTTTATTTTTTTTTCCCAATATATGCAAGTTGACCCTTCTTCCCCCTTCAGTTCATTTTGCCTGCGTTGGCTGGTTAATGAGTTCAACGTGACTGTAATAAACACATTTTAATCACTGTCAGCTTATTCATGGTACATGTAGCTAAAGTTACCCTTCAGTAGAGCCTCTGTCTGAGGTCCAAAAGAACACAATGTGCCATTGTGCGCACTGACTGCAACATAGGAAAACAAGATAACCCCGGTTCTCTGATACGGAGCACAGTCACCCGCCTGAATGACCTCTGTCCCATTTGGGACATCGTGTCCTTGTGATGCTTTTTTCTTTTTCTTTTAATGAATGTGAAAATTCATCACAGTACACTCACTTCCTGTTTAGCGATTTAAGCCTTTTCAAGCTACAGTTAATGTTGGCTGTATTACAGCTGAAGTAAGCTTTGCTTCTCTTAAAACGTTACAGTTTGAGCTATGCTCAGCCTGGCATGAAGTCAGTTTCTGCAACATTTGAAGCAGTAGTGAAAGGGATACGCTTTTACACCACACTTTTGCTTTCTTGTCACTCTAACTGCTCCTACCTGATCTGATTATGTGAAGTTTAAGAAGCTTCGAGGCCGTCCTGTTCCTCTCTGAGCTTGATGCACTAACCTGTCAAACCCCTTTTAAACCTGTGAATGTACACCTTTTATCTCCTTCCTCTCTTTGTTCTCAAATCTTGGCTGTTCTGTCTATGCAACGCTTCAAAGAAGGGGTTTGTGGAACCAAAGGTATTATCTGTGGCAGCTTGCGTCCAACACAATCATGAAACTGAAAAGTCGCGAGGATAAATGCTGCTGCGACAACCTGTCATATGCAAAGTATTTTAGATTTCCTTCCAAGAGACGGTATACAATGTATGATAACAATGTAGTAATCTCAAATGTACATACCTACCAATAAAACTGTTGTAAGTTACAGAAACCAAGGTGTTGTTTTTCAGTGGTTTTCTGTGTGACTTGTGGCCCACAGCTCAGTCAGATGAACCAGAGCATCTTTGTGTTTATGATAACTGAACCTTTTTAATACTAAACACGCTATAAACATTTTTTTTGTTTCCATTCTAGTGAACTTTGACTAGACATCCAGATATTAGTGGCAGGTTAGTCTGAATGGCACAATTACATTGACTGGCTGGACTTTTGGACAGTTACTGATTACTTTTAGTACTTTTTTCAATACTTTTTTTTCCTTTATCATTTATTTATTATTTATAATGTGTTATTTATAATTTTTCAAAATTGCTGCTCAAAGAAGTACCCATAGATCTTTCAACGTGTTTGTGGAGGAAAAGCGTCAGGAAGATTTTTGGTGGGGGTCATAATTCGGTGCGTCTGTCAGGGATGACTGTGGATCAGGTGGAAGATCAACTGAAGGCCGGTGCATCGATTCCTGACTCCTCCAGGCTGCTTGCTGAAAAGCATCTTTGGGTAAGACACTGAAGCCCGAGTTGCCCCTGATGCATCCATCAGAGTGTGAGTGAACATTACACTCAAAATCCAATTTTATATTGCTGTGTTCTGGGTTTATATAATACAGTCACAATATATGTACAGATTAAAACACACCACACACAAACATAATTTAACTATCCCATAATTTTTTTTTCTCGCATGGTTCAGTTGGGTACTCTACAACGTTCCCAAATACTTGATTTCACATGAGCGCAGTGTTTCTCCAACTACTCCTGCCTTTAAAGAAAGGCTTGTGGCTGTGGCCGCTAGGTGGCAGTAGTTGCAGGCCATTGAACATTTGCTAAGGTCCCTGACGTTTGTCAAGTTTATTAGTTTAGCTACAAAACCGGAAGTTGTTTTCCAAGTTAAATGGTCTCTATAGTCTCGGAAAAATATTACATTTATATATAAATGTAATTCTGAGAATATAATAACCTTGGTGTATTATTAATTCATGTGGTGACTACATGTTTGCTGATTTTTATTTGTTTATTTATTTTTTTTACGGCACGGCCCTTTGGAAGTTTTCGCCGGAAGCTGTCACGTATGAGGTCCCCTGTTCAGTGTTGCCAACTTAGCGACTTTGTCGCTATATTTAGCGAGTTTTCAGACCCCTTAGCGACTTTTTTTCTAAAAAAAAAAAAAAAAAAAAAAAAAAAGTCGCTAAAAAACGACGTGAAAGCGCGTACCACTTTTACTCTCAACAAGCAGCGGGTGCTGTAACGCAGTCAGTTCTTCTTTTACTCTTTTTCTCTTATGCTGTTTTGTGGATCACAAGGTTTAAAACTACTTATAAACACACACACACAAAGGCTACGTTCACACTGCAGGCGAAAGCGCATCAAATCCGATTCTTTTTTACCCTATGCGACCCATATCCGATAATGGTATGACAGTGTGAACGGCACAAATCCGATATTTTCACATCCGATCTGGGTCACTTTCGTATGTGGTACTGAATTCGATACATATCCGATGTTTCAGAAAGCGACTGCTGTGTGAATGGTCATGTCGCATTAAATCCGTCTTTTACGTCACTGACACAAGACAGACGCCAATTATCAGCGCCGGAGAAGACATCGCGAACGCTTCCTGGCCATCCAGTGTAGATGTCAGTGAAACTGTTGGGAAGACAACGTTGGAGAAACGTGAACATTTTATTTGTTCTGTATAATCTGTAGATTCTGACAGAAATCTGCAACTATCCTTTGAAGCACTGCTCCTCTAAAACAGCAATAAGGATAATTATTAGGTTATTTACATTATTATGTAAATAACAAAATAACTTAAAGCAAAAATTGGGAAACGTAAAGTCGGAAGTCTTTATATTAACGGTCATCAGTCAAACAATATTGTTTGCTCAGGGTATAAACGGAGTTCGTTGTGTGTGACGTCTTCTTTTGCGCATGCGGGCCGCTTTGAGCGTTCACACTAGAGGGCGTTTGCTGTCGCATTTTATTTATAGTGTGAACAAGCAGACAAAAAAATCGGATTTGATCAAAAAATCGGAATTGAGCATTAATGTGAACGTAGCCAAAATAACTCCACCAGAGTGCCTAATTTGGGTCACTTTTGCCGGCCCAAAACCGGGTAAAGGAGCAGGGTTGGAATTGTGACATTAAAAAAAAACAATAATTGCTAAAAGAAATTTAATTTGTAGTTCTAAATAAACTCTAAATGCATTTAGGACGTTTTTTACTCACTTTATGTCTCTTCCACGATGTTATTTCTCTCTCCAACAACATAGGTTACGATTAGATTAGCATGACCAATTATGCAAATTAGGCGATGACGTCATTTAGCGACTTCTAGGACAACCAATAGCGATTTTCCTTACTGAGGAGTTGGCAACACTGCCCCTGTTGGTTGACGTCTTGTTGGGTCGAGCTGTCATCTTTGCTAGCCGCCGCATTAGCCACTGTTTTGTTTTGTCATGACAGGAGCGTGCAGTCCTCGTACAGAACAGGGCTGGTAAAGACATCACTTCTTCGGGTGTCCACCTTTGGGGAGGAACAGAGGACAGAAATCTGCACGTGTCACATTAAAGTGAGATGAAATGACAACGTCAACATTACAGGTAGGCTGTTGTTAGCTGGCTAACGTTAGCCCGCTTCAGTTTGGTCACAGAGCTAGCCTTTGATTTGTGTATAATTGGAGCAAAAAGCGGGTTTTTTTACAACTCTGAATACACTGGGTTGCGTGCGGAAGAATTTTCTGGAAGCTACGAAGACTCTTCGAGCCATTTGGTAGATAATTTATTTTTTTTCCACTGAACAATTAAAGAAAGATTCTAATTCAAAACACAGTTTCTAGCCTGTCGGCTACCTTCATACAAAATAACGGTTAGCTCCTACACGCTAAGGTGGCTGGATGTACTGCAAGATAAATTGCTAACAAAACAGCTGATAGTAAGCTTGCCTTGGTTTGGTGTTACAATAAATATGTCGTCTAGATTACATATTATAGAAACGATAGGCTTTGTTGCGGGTACTACTGGCTGTGCCTCGCCTGTAGGGTGTTTCTAACGGTATCTGCTGTCACCGTTAGCCGGCCTGTGTGGTCCTGCTCGCTCAGTTAAAAGGACAGCAAACAAAGCGTTGCTGTTTTGGGGGGACTATTTTAGTCTGACGACTGGCTTTATAAGCAGCACAGTGAATATTTGTCTTAAGGAATAGCTTGTTCTTTGTTTTAATAATAATAACAACTTTTATTTGTTTATCACTTTTAAATAAATAGAGTTACAAAGTATTTCACAGTTTAAATAAAACCACACATTAAAGACAAGTGAATATGTTCCAGCACATGGTCTTGCATTTATCGCAATATATATACGCAACTTTTATACATACATCAGATGTAAACCTATAGCCAAAAATAATAGGAGAAAGATTGTTTTTCTTTTCTTTGCTTTTCGTTTCTTTTTTTTAAAGTAACTTATATAAAGTTCTCAGTAATCCTATAAAACAAACCACAGGTTCAGCCGACCTGAATTACTGAGAAATGCTGTTCCAGACTTTAGGAGGTGTAACCTGAAAGCGTGGGCTCCTCTGTTTTTAACAGTTAAGAGCGTGATTAGATGATCTGAGATTCTTAAAGATGTTGTAAATTCTCAGTAGCTCTCCATGTTTATGCGAGAGCTAAGCCATGTAGGACTTTATGCTATTAATACAATTTTGAATTTCACTGGAAGCCAGTGAAGGGATGCAAAAGTAAGTGGGAGACAGTTACAGTGTGAACTAAAAGTTCTGGATGATTGGGTGAAGAAAAAAAAAAGGTTTCATGTTTGCAATGTTTCTTTAATGAAAGAAAGCTGGGCGAGCTTTGAAATGTGAGATTTAAATATACTAGATAATAACGAATGATGCTAAGGTTCTTAGCAGATGATTTGATATTATCAGCGAGCAGGCTGACTGGCTAACTTCCTCAGTGAATCAGTCAGGGCCGGACACAAGAGCCTTGGTTTTGTCAGGACTGAGATGAAAGAAATATTTTAAAGTTAGTATGGCAGTGAAGCATTCCCTCGGGTACCAAAGGCTGTTGAGCTTGAACTAACAGAAAGGTACAGCTGTGTATTGTGTGCATATCAATGATAGCAGGTGCATTTAAAGCTATTAAGCAGATGGCCCAGGTATAATATACACAGTGAAAACAAAACTGTGTTTATGACATGTGTTACACCCCGGCCTAGGCAACCGGCGTGCAACGTATGAAAATAAAAATAAGAAAAAAAAAACACACGAGAAACAAACTAAAGCTCTCCACCAAAATCCCAAAACTAAAGTATCGACAAATCTATTTACAACACGGGGGAGATCGCAACCATGACCAACTGACACACAGGGCTTAAATACATAGAAGGAGCAATCAGGGAATGGACCACAGGAGGGAAACACAGCTGGGGCAAATTAGACCTGACGAGACAAGGAAACGTAAACTGAACACACTAAGATAACAGACCTTCAAAGTAAAACAGGAAACACATGACAGTCACGCAAAAACAAAACACTGACAACACCGAAACGTAACATTTCCCCCCACCCAAAAATCAAACATGTAACCCCAAGTGAAATGTTTGATCAAAAGCGGATGAAGGCTGGTGGAGGCTGGAGCGGTCCCTCGGACCCTCCCGCAGACGACGAAGGCTGGAGCGGTGCCCCGGACCCTCCAGCGAAGGCAGACGAAGGCTGGAGCGGTCCCTCGGACCCTCCAGCGAAGACGGATGAAGTCTGGAGCGGTCCCACGGACCCTCCAGCAGACGACGAAGGCTGGAGCGGTCCCTCGGACCCTCCAGCGAAGGCGGACGAAGGCTGAAGCGGTCCCTCCAACGGACCCTCCAGCGAAGACGGACGAAGCTGATGAAGGCTGGAGCGGTCCCACTGACCCTCCAGCAGACGACAAAGGCTGGGGCGGTCCTCGGACCCCCCAGCGAAGGCAATCCCGGACGAGCCCCCATATGTTACACCCCGGCCTAGGCAACCGGCGTGCAACGTATGAAAATAAAAATAAGAAAAAAAAAAACACAGGAGAAACAAACTAAAGCTCCCCACCAAAATCCCAAAACTAAAGTATCGACAAATCTATTTACAACACGGGGGAGATCGCAACCATGACCAACTGACACACAGGGCTTAAATACATAGAAGGAGCAATCAGGGAATGGACCACAGGAGGGAAACACAGCTGGGGCAAATTAGACCTGACGAGACAAGGAAACGTAAACTGAACACACTAAGATAACAACAGACCTTCAAAGTAAAACAGGAAACACATGACAGTCACGCAAAAACAAAACACTGACAACACCGAAACGTAACACATGTGTTTATTGCCTGTTTTTGACTCCATGGTTTAACATTATATCTCTGCATCTGCTACAGAAAGCCATTGATCTTGTCACTAAAGCCACAGAGGAGGACAAGGCGAAAAATTATGAGGAGGCTCTGCGCCTGTACCAGCATGCTGTGGAATATTTCCTACATGCCATAAAATGTAAGTATCTTATCTTGACAGGTAGCTGAGCTCTTTGTGTTTTGCATACACCTTGCTGATGGCAACATCTTCTCTTACTCCAGATGAGGCCCACAGCGACAAGGCGAAGGAGAGTATACGAGCAAAATGTATGCAGTACCTGGACAGAGCAGAGAAACTGAAGGACTATCTGAAGAATAAAGACAAACAGGGCAAGAAGCCTGTCAAAGAAGCACAGAGCAATGACAAGTACGATGTCCTTTTTTTGTATGTTTAAATGTAAAAAAAAACCCCAACATTTTAGGCTTTATTGGATTTTTATGTTCCGTGTTCTAGGAGTGACAGTGACAGTGAGGGTGAAAACCCTGAGAAGAAAAAACTGCAGGAACAGCTTATGGGTGAGTGGCCTTGGGGGGGATTTAACCCCATCATGTGGAGCTAAATATTTATTTATGATATTATTTCTTACAATTTTCTTTGGTTTTGTCATAATCAAACAGCTGTGTCTATTAATTGCATCCCAGTAGGTGTGTCATCATTACTTTTTTTTTGTGTGTGTAGGTGCTATTGTAATGGAGAAACCCAATGTGAGGTGGAATGATGTTGCTGGGCTGGAAGGAGCTAAGGAAGCTTTGAAGGAAGCAGTCATCCTGCCCATCAAATTTCCTCACCTTTTCACAGGTACTGTAGGTCTCAAGTCTCTTCATTCTGTTTAAACCCAGTAAGCAGTCATACACTGATATCAACACTACTTTAAAGACAAACTTTTCTTCTGTGTCTTTTGTTTCTCAGGCAAACGGACCCCATGGAGAGGCATCCTGCTCTTCGGTCCTCCGGGAACAGGGAAGTCATACCTGGCCAAGGCGGTGGCCACCGAGGCCAACAACTCCACCTTCTTCTCTGTCTCCTCCTCAGACCTCATGTCGAAGTGGCTGGGAGAGAGTGAGAAGTATGTTTTCAATGCGTCATTTCAATTCAGTGTAATTTACATAGAGCCAATTCCCAACAACTCTCATCTCAACGTGCTATAAATTGTCATGTAAAGGCCGTACAATATTGGAGAGGGAAAATGGATGAACTAGTTTTTCAGCATCACTCTGAGTCAGGAGTGTTTCTAATTTTTAGTATTGTACACTTGTTTAAGCGAGGTAAAAAGGAAATATCAGAAATGCTTCTAAAGTTCCTCACAGCCTTGGGGACAGCTGTTTTGTTATCCTAGCAGAATATCAATTAAACAGCTCCATAAATATTCAACTGTATCAGAGTAGAAACCTGAACTTATAAAGCTGAAACAGTTTTGTAAGTATATTTTTAATAAACAGATTGATATGTGATTTAGCAAGTAGAAATACTGGAAAAAAACAACTTTGATAACTGAGTATTTTGGAATTTTAATCTTTAAAGGTCTCATCTTAAATTGCATAAAGGTGATGAGCAATAATTACAACATTTGTTACTTCAAAGACTAAATCGATTTCTTAGTAATAAAAAACTAATGGTCTAATATTGCTATCCCTCAGACATATTTACTCCGTCTCTGCCCGTCTCTCTCAGGCTGGTGAAAAACCTGTTTGATCTAGCTCGCCAGCACAAACCTTCAATCATCTTCATCGACGAGGTGGACTCTCTGTGCGGCTCGAGGAACGAGAATGAAAGCGAGGCTGCCCGCCGCATCAAGACAGAGTTTCTGGTCCAGATGCAGGGTGAGTCACACGAGTGCTATCGGATATATGAAGTGTGAGGAATATGCAGTATTAAATAATATTGTTGAAACCTGAGGCACAGCCATTTGGAAAAACATGGCATCTGCAGTGTTTCAAGTCAGATTGATGATGTGAGCAAAGAGGGGCTTTTTTCAGCCTCACATCTGTGTCAGACTGAATGTGCGAATCTTGTTAACACTTTGTGGAACCTGGATCACATCACCGTGATGGATTGAAATAAGGGACCTTAAGACCACAGCAGCCTTTTCAGAGTTCATAGAACCATACAGAACCACAGAACTTCACTGTGCTTGCTCTGCACCACAAGAGGAACTTCTAAAAAACACAAATGTTTGGTGATTTTTCTGGATGTAAGTGTATGTGGTGGCAGCACTGGTAACCATCATATGTGAAAAATCCTTTTAAACAGTTTTCTGATTGTTTTCAACACATTTCTCAGTTGAAGACTTAGTTATTTGTCACTTATTTGTCTTTAGGTTGAACGATCTGTGGTGATGTCAGGCATGTTCTGTTTTCATAACTTTTCTTGTTAGTACGGTATTCATTCCACAGAATATAAACAATTTTATTGTGTGGCATCAGTAGCTCATCATTGTTTATATTGTATAAATAAATTACACTGACCATTATTCCTGCTACAGTCAGTTAAGAGAGTTTTCCAGAGTTTCAAAAGAAGTGCTTGTGTAGATTGACACTCTGCTTTTGTAGGTGTCGGAAACAACAATGATGGCATTCTGGTGCTCGGAGCCACCAACATCCCCTGGGTGCTGGACGCCGCCATCCGCAGAAGGTCAGAGGTCATCTCAGATGTTTGTGTGTGTGTGTGTGTTTTGTTTATATTCTGTGGGGCTTTTTATTCCAAAAAATGTACTTTTGCTGCACTGTTATTATTCATCACAATGGTAATTCTGTCATGTTCAGTGTTGGGTAAGTTACTTTAAATTAGTAACGTAGTTACTTTACTAGTTGCTTCTATCAAAAGTAACTCAGTTACTTCAAGTTACTCGTTACTTTCAAAGTAACTAGTTACTAGGGAAAGTAACTTTGGTTTTACTCAGAATGCTCTTGTTAATGTGTTTCTTCCATAACTGGATACCCAGCAAGAGTGCCAGTCTTCTAGCTTGCTTACTTGCCACAAGTGCACTGTGCCACCTACCAATAGCAAGGAAAAGATAATGTGCATATTTCCATGAGAGAAATCCCACGCCTCGACCGTCGTTGACCGCCGCCGTGATTCTAGCCTATGTCACAGCGTCATGTGCGCTTTTTACATCCAACACAAAAACTGCAGTCGTGGTGCTTTCGATTGTACTCAGAACTCAGAAATTCTGCCTTCTGAGTAGGAAGATGTAGGTAACACCAGACTACAGATGAGCTGCATACAGAGCTGGACTGGGACAAAAAATCGTCACGGGCATTTTGATTGACCGGCCCACCATTATAGGAAAAATCATAAAGCCTTTGAATGAAAACAAACACTGTTGTGACAGTGATGTACACTGTTTTGATGGTATATATGTATCAATCTATCAATGGTTTCCTCTTTCTGGCGCAAAGTGGGCTGATCATTGATCAGTTTTCATGATTGAAGTAGAAACGGGAGAGGGAGGGGAGAGAATGAGAGAAGAAGAGGCAGCTGTGCAGCAAAGAAGTGCAGCACAGAATAACTCCAGCTTTGTGTCTTTTTCGTTGTAGCTGAAGTCCGGAACAAACTGTGTTCCTTTTCAGCTCAATATGAAATATTTTCTCTGAATACGGAACGATTCCGTTTTTTACAGGATGGTTGGCAACTCTACTAACTAACCTTATGAACAAAATAAAGTTCAACATCAGTAACATCATAGCACCCACCTAGCTGTATAGAAACTCCGTCATGCTAGCTAGCACGCAGTACAAAAAAGTCAGCATAACGAAAATAAACTCCAACTAAACTTGGTTCATATCTGACCCAGATGGACTGCAGGTCATAACTTCTTACCTGAAGTTCAGTTCACCTGACACTCGGACCGGCGGCCGCTTCGGGTCTCTCCTCTTGCCTCCCCTTTCCCTCATCCACCTGCTGGCCTCCATCACTTGCTAATGTTACTGAATCTGTGGAAGCTCCGTGATAGCCACCACATGAAGTAACAAATAACGAGCCTATCTAAATCCCAGTAACGATTAACGCGTTCCTGATTTTGGCATAATAACTAGTTACCGTGCTCGTTACCACAGTAATAACGTAGTTACTGTAACGCGTTACTTAATAACGCGTTAGTCCCAACACTGGTCATGTTACTTCTAATTCTGGTGTGTTAAGAAAACACAAACCTTTGAACTCGGGTAGATTCTGATGCTGTTAGTTTGAACCCAAATGGAGAAACCACAGGGCTTGAAGTGTTGTTGTTTTAGGATGAATCTGAAATCTAAATTCTTATTAAATCCTCCTGCATTTGGGGAATATTTCAGAAAGTGATTTTCTAATCTGTTTGTCTAAACGCATGTTAATGTTAAGATTCATACTGCTTTTTGACTGCTGACCATGGTGTCACAGTCTGATGTCGTTTTTTCTCCTCCTTTAAACTACTCAGCTGTTAACAAAGCATTTGTGTGGACACACACCTGAGCTCCAGCTCTCATTTTGAATGCTGACCATGTAAAACATTGTCCAAACTTCTTGTGAGTTGTTCTCTATGACGTTTAGAATTTAATGTTGGCTCCAGATATTTTTGGACAGTGGCATCATTATTGTCTTTTTACCTTTGTATCAAAACATACTTGGGTTACTGCTAAATGCTTTAAGCTTCAAGTGCAAACATTCAATTCTAAGTTGAGGGGTTAACCCATCATATTGCATTGACCACTGAAGTGTTGCATCTGTACTTTAACACTTTGGTCAGGAAGTGATTTCAAGTGTGCTGTGGCTGTTAATACAGAAAAAGAATTTAGTATGGATATTATTAAGATCGTGAGTGGCTAACTATTTTGTACATACTGAGGAAAACACACATGGAAGCACATGGGAAGACCTGGAAAACCACAGACATGGGTGATGACAGGATCTTTTCTATAGTAAAGAAAAGCCCCTACAGATCATCCAGCAAAGAGTAGAGACCAACCTCCATGAGGTATTTATATAAAGTGTTAAATGAAGAAAAGATTTCAGGAGACCTGCCACAGGGAAAACAGGAAGGGCCAGAGCTTGCTCGTTGACAGCGACTGAATTTTCAAAATAAGTGCGCATTACCTCGGCTAGATGAACAATTATGAAAAAAAGTCTGTGCTTTGGAAACAGTGCACTGTGTGTGTGATCTGTTAGAAGACGTTGGCTGAGGCTCATCATGTTGTTATGTTACCATGGGCACATTACAAACACAAGCTGCTGGGGGATAGTTCAGCTTATTTAGATGGCCACTTGGAGAAACCAGCAGTACCCAACAACACGTTCATCAGCAGCTACATTTTGCCTCCATTTAAGCACAAAAGCTGAATTCAATGTTAAATTAAAATGTGGAAAAAAGAAACGTTTCACTTGAAACGAGAAGGATGTGGCTTCAAACAGGAAGAAGTTCCTTCTGTAATTGTTACTGAACAGAGTGAAAGATCGCTCTGATCGACAGCTCTCACCTCACTGAGGAGGGCAGGCAGTATAAAAATCATCCTGCCTCCTCTTGGGAAATAGAGTTAAAGAGTTCCCAGCAGCTATCAGCTTTTCTGTCAGATCTGTACAGGCTTGCATTTTTGGTGAATAGTGCTGGGAATGCAAAAAGAAGACAGCTCCTGTAAGAAGTGGCACTGAAATCCACAGCTGATTAATAACATCTTAAACTTGTAATCCACTCGGTGTCTTGTGGAAGCATAATCTTAAATGTATACCCAGTTAGAAGCATATGTAATACAAATTATGTATTATAGAATTATTAAACAAATCAGAGATGCGGCTCTTGAACTCCACTAAACGAGCTTTGTAGGATTCAGAGCTCGATATACTCGCCTTGGAACAGCCCATCGAATTATCATCTGCCTGAAATAAAACATTTTAGCTCCTGTGTCTATAAGGCTACCCACATTTTAAGCCAACTTTGGTTATTATTCATCTGACTGGCTGCTATTTGCGTGCCTGAGACCTTATTAGGGATATCCATTCTTGATGATATCATATCGAGCCAAGCATATAAAAAATGTCTAAAACTAATTCTATATATAATCCTGAAGTCTGAGCTACATAGACTGATTATTTAAAACTTTGGTCGTGTTTAATATAAGCATCGACCAGTGGAGTGGGATTTATGGCAGAAATAAGGAAAAGCGGTCAATCTACAGCCAGTGAACCCAGTATCCGACTCCTGCTTCACTTCCTCTAAACTTTAATAGTAACAAGTTGATTTTAGAGCTACGCTTTGCTTTGTTATACCTTTTCTTGTGTGCTGTTTAAGTGTACGTGTGTTGAGGAGCATCCGTAAGACGGGCTTGTTATTTTTGTTGTGCGTCAGATTTGAGAAGCGTATCTACATCCCTCTGCCAGAGGAGCCGGCTCGGGCTCAAATGTTTCGCCTCCATCTGGGCAACACACCGCACAGCCTGAGCGAGGCCGACCTGCGGCAGCTCGCCCGCAAAACAGAAGGCTACTCCGGTGCCGACATCAGCATCATCGTCCGGGATGCTCTCATGCAGCCCGTTAGGAAGGTCCAATCTGCCACACATTTCAAAAAGGTAAGAGAAAGAAACCTGTGAAATCTTCAATCTTGGATCTTTGTGATATAAATGAACTATTGAAAGGGGCCCTGTTACCTGGACTTATAAGGTCTTTATAAGTCTTGATTAAAGTTCAGTTCATCCTCTGTTAAAAATTAGCTGTTTTAAGCTTGTTTGTAAAAGAAATCACCCCAAAAAACCAAGCCTGTGAGCTCCAGTACCTGTGATCAGCTGCCCTGTGCTTCTGCTGACTGTCAGGTTTTAGTCAAATCTGTCCATGGTATGTAAGCAGATGTTGAGGAATGAGGAATTAGAGCTGCTTTTCAGCTACTAGACAGTATATTACTATTAAAGAGCATCATCACTCAGGCGTGCAGCAGTCTAACAGACTCCGTTACTGTAAATGTTATCAGAATCAGAATCAGAATCAGAATGGGTTTATTGCCAGAAGTTGAGGTTTACAACATTAGGAAATTGCTGCGGTGCTTCAGTGCAGACAATAAGAATTAAAGTGCTATGTAGAAAGAAAGATATGTGCATGAGATATATACATGAGAATAAGAATTATGAGTGCTACGTAGAAAGATATATACATGAGTGCAGGTGGTGATCAGTGCCAAACATGAAATGATGCAGTGACACAGCGTAGGGTCATGTGTTAGTGTTAGTGGCGGGGACAGTCATGTGGTTATTGTTCATGTGTCCAACAGCAGAGGGGAAGAAACTGTTCTTGTGGCGAGAGGTTCTGGTGCGAATAGAATACTGCAAACTAACCAGTTTAACATGAATTTAATTAAGTTATTGTGTTTAGTATGTAGTTGAGATTGAGTTACTAATGTCTCAAAGATCGCCCATAGACTCAGCGGGGTTCGATGAAGCCTTCACGTGGAGGCTGCAGTGTTTGGTGTGATTAATCGGTGCTGCACAGGAGCTTTTTTCCCCCTTACTCCTGCAGGTCCGCGGTCCATCCCGAAGCAACAACCAGTTGATGGTGGATGACCTCTTGACGCCATGTTCCCCTGGCGATCCTGGGGCTATAGAGATGACCTGGATGGACGTGCCTAGTGATAAGCTACTGGAGCCCATAGTCTGCATGGTAAGATGCAGGAACGTGAAGGAAAATCTGTTGTTTCACTAACAGCAGCTTTGATTTTCTTTTAAACTGTGACATATTACCATCTTCCTTTCCACCACCAATGAACAACAATGACATAGATTATCAGCCAGATTCATTATACATGTAAAACTGCTGAAGGAAGGTTTATAAGATAAGACCTCCTGTGATGTTTGGTTTCAAGATGAGGCTAAGGTGGAGGTGGTGGAGATGAAGATACTAAGATTTTCATTGGGATTATTAATGAGTAATATTACTATTAACCAGTAATATCATAAGGACGGCTCATTGAGCAGTTTGGAGACAAAGTTGGAGAGGTGAGGCTGAGATGATTAGGCTGTGTGCAGAGAAGGGATAAAGGATATGTTGGACAGTTTTTCTGCATAAAGAAAGCTTCTGTTGGATTGAAAGGACCTCACAGTGATATACAGTATTTAAATATGCAGTATAACAGTAATGAAATAACAATAATGAACTGTGTGTGTGTGTCCGTGTCCCTACTTTGCAGTCGGACATGCTGCGCTCTCTGTCCACCACCCGCCCCACAGTTAACACCGAAGACCTTCTCAAAGTCAAGAAGTTCACAGAGGACTTTGGGATGGAGGGCTGAGAGACAGAGCCCCACGTCTCCCGCTCCATCCCCAAGTCCAGCAGAAGGGTCAGACTGCTCCCAGTACCAACACTCCACCCCTCTCCTCTGCACCATCCTGTAGGCTTTCATCTTCAGCTGAGCACTTGGTTCACTGCCTCTCCTGGATTTATAACATGGCGCCAGTCTGCATCTTCGTGTCTCGTCCAGGCCCGGATGTTTGAATCCCTGGAGGACATTGACCAAATGCAGAAGTAGAAAATCTCAGTGTGATTTGGTAGCTGGACTGTAGACTTCCTCCCCTGTCGCCTCTGCGTTTTTCCCCACCCTTTACAGACTGTGCTCCGTTACAGCATATTCACTACAAGAACTGTTCATCTGCGCCGCATTTAATGTGAGGAAATGCATAAAGTTTGTCCCACTGTGAGCCTGTCTCGTCTCCGACCGAAGGGCCATACATTCTGCTGCCGTCATGCAACTCCCTTTGGTATCGCCATGAAGGACAGTGAAGAGAAGACGTTAGTTGTTCTGCCAGGCATGCGGAAGTGTGAAAGCATTTAAGTGTTTTTATTAAACTTGTTTCTGTTTAATGTTTCTGTCTAAATGTTATTTTGATATTTAATGCAGTTAAACCAAGTGAGCGTGTCTGGTTGAGGCCTGTAGCTCCGTGCTCGCAACAGTCTGAGTGAAGCATTTACATTACCAGAGATGTGCTTGACTGGGAGCCAAGTGCAGCAGTTCCTCAATCTGAAAATACTAAGAGTGATAATTTAAATGAGATGGGGGAAAAAATCAGTATTTCCTGCTTTTCTCTGTTTTCTGTAACTTGAATGTCTTTTATTTTGAAAAGGATGTACACTCTGGGAGATGGATGATTGTCATTGAAAAGCCATTTGTTAACACAGCATTTAATCAACATGAACAAAAAAGCAACGAATACTTTAAAAAAATAGATTTTTAAGAAAGCCCAAGTGCTGATCAATGGCTCTATTTTTTTTCCTTATTTTTTCTTTTCGAAGCGAATAAACTGATAGACGATGCATCAACACTTCCTGTTTTGAAGCAGCAGTTGGTGGGATTGGTAGCTTTTCTGGAGCATTGGCTGTACATAAATGATGGACATGGCCACGGTGATGTCATTCATTGGCTTCAGTCTTCACATATTGAAGCCCAAGTATTAGCTGCTAAAAGTTTGTGGTGTTTTTGAAGACACAGCTGCAGCACCCATAAGTTAAAATCCAATCAGGTGAATAAAAAAAATTTCACCTGCTATAGAAACCAAAGCTTGTTCTCTGTAACTGGCCATACTGGCGGTGCATTTAGAGCGTGGCTCAAGTGGCCATTAGTAATGCAGTTTTTGGATCTTTGCCATTGGCTTCCTTTTTTTCAGCTGTGGTCAGTGAGGCTTGTTCTGGAGTTTTCAAACTAAAACAGCTACCGTGGGGCAAACAGTCACACTTTCGCTTCATGTTTAGGAGGCCGTTACGTGTGGAAGAAAGCGTCCTTTTGGTCTTTTCACTACATTTCCTAGAATACACCTAGTCTTATTTAAACTGCGAAGTCCTTCTTTTATGGATGTTCTGTTTTTGATGTTTGAGTTCGTGTTCTGGGTGTTTTCCACTCTTCATTGAAAATATTCAAACTGAGCGGATACATGAGTGGGAGAAATGTGCAGTGGAAAATAAACAGTCTCATTAAACATGAAAATTGAAGACATCGTGTCTGTGGCACTTTAAGGAAACTAACCTCCCTCACTTGGTTTAACAGCACAAGCTAATTAACGCCGACTGCAATTAATCCACTAATATTCACATGTTAGTGGATTAAGAATCAGTCAAGCACATCTTTGTGTTGCCCTGCATTCATGGTCAATCAGTGTTATGGAACATTATTTATATAAATTACTGGTCACGTGTGATGTGTAACTAATCCAGCTACAGTATGTTTATTCTTTATGTATTAATTTTCTGTGATTCATGATGGAGCACCAGTGAGAGGCCTGACCCCCCCCCCCCACCCCCCTTTATTGGAGGCAAATGTACAGAGTTCTCCTCCAGGGGCGATGCTGCTGAACGTTTCATTGCTGTTGTCCTAATTTCAGCAGGGAGTTTAAGGAAAGCTGTCCTGCACAGACTCTGACCTCCTGCTGTTATGGCAGGATTGCAGGCGTGCCTGGTGGACTCACTGATGGACTTCTGGAAGCTACAGTAGAATCGCTGCGTGTTTGTGGAGGTACCTGTTGTTCAGGGGAGCTCAGTTATTAACGTCCCTGTACGGGGATTTAACCTGACGCTGGCCATGTTACCATTACTACTAATTTAACCTGAATAAATAAAAACTGAAATTTCAAATGGAAAAAAAGACACTACTGCTGCTTTGACATGGTTTATTATTCTTGTGCATTTCACGTATTTGGAATTTAACACTTCCACCACCATCACACAGTTAAGTGCACACCAATAAGAGTTTCCACAAAACCTGAGATCTCAAATATTTAGAAACAATCTGTCAAAGTGAAGCCTGAGAGGAGTTCACCACAATTAAAAGATTACGCAAACAAAATGTTCAACAATATACACTCACCAGACACTTTATTAGGTACACTCTCCGTGTACTGGGTTGGATCACCTTTTGCTTTCTTCAGAGATTTAGGCCCATATTGAAATGACGGCATCACACTGCGTTCATGATGCAAATCTCCTGTTTGCTGTATTGAATTGAGATCTTGTGACTTTGGAGGGCATTTGAGTGAACTCATGTTGATTGAACCAGTTTGAAGTGATCTGAGCTTTGTGACATGGGTTAGACTGCTGGAAGGAGTTGCAAACAGGTTCTTAACGGACCTGCCCGCAGCCCCATCCTGTCACACATTTCAAAGAATTTGCAGCACGATGAAACAAAAAAATACCAGAAGTGGAGCAGTCAGTTTTCTGATTTTATTTAAATTTACACAGAGTCAACTTTGAGGCCACTGTTCATTTACTGCAGTCATTTGAGCTGTTCCTTCTAAGGAAAATCTTCAAGATTCTGATAAAAACTCCTTCCTTTTACATTTACATCAATCTCATATCTATACAGCAAATGTCAAGCTATAATCACAAGACTGGAAAGACCTAGAGCACAGGTGTCGAACTCCAGGCCTTGAGAGCCGGTGTCCTGCAGGTTTTAGATGTGTCCTTGACACAACACAGCTGATTTAAATGGCCAAATTACTTCCTTAACATGTGTTGAAGTTCTCCAGAAGCCTGGTAATGAACTAATCATGTGATTCAGGTGTGTTGACCCAGGGTGACATATAAAACCTGCAAGACACCGGCTCTCGAGGCCTGGAGTTCGACACCCCTGACCTAGAGCAACCACCTCATTAGCTAAAAGTAGCTTGGAAATGAAGTCCAGTCCTAATCAGCTCCATACAACAAACATCATATGCACTGACAAATTTCATAAAGCAAAACACTGTCTTAATGGCTCAGTCACACTAGATTAAAAATAGTGCAGAATGTTTTCAGAAGACCAGGAAGCTCTGGATAACCACTTTCGATTGCAGTGCTTGCATGGATTGCCTTGTGGGAGGCAACTTATGCAATCTGTTTATGTAGATGATTCACCATTTTCACCAGTTTGCTGCAGTTTATTACTGATGTTTTATTGCCATCTTGACGTATGAAGTCGCTTTGAAGACGCGGTTGACTGCGAGTGGTTACCATCTTGAAGCAACTTTTGAAATAGTTGCAAGTTCACTGTGTATGGTTGTGCGGTGGTCTCCAGCCCACTGTTTTCCTTGGTGTGACTCAGGGCTGATCAGGTAACTCAGCAGTCCATTTTCTTTTTTTTTTTACTTCATCAGCCACTATTACCAACCAACCATCACCAGAGTCCTGTATCACAGCTAAATTACAGCTAGCTAGCTAACTATATCTTCCTTGTCAGTATAGTCCAACTATAATTCATATAAGTAGAAAAGCTATTTGACTAGCTTTACAATTTATTCCACAGCTTAAGTGATTGATGTATAATGTAAAATGGCACCAAGTATGTAATAGCACAAAGCAGCCTACATGGGGTAAACTGTGCTTATTGCACATACTAAGACAAGCGGTACAGCTGCTACATCATATCACAGTTTTGGCCCTGCTGGCCCGTGCTGCATGCTAACACAGAGCTCCTTAATGTCTACCAAGCAAAATCAAGCATTCAATATTTTACTCAAGGACACTTGGACAGGACACACTGTCTTCCAGCTGTGAGGATCAAACCTGAGATGATCTTTATTGTGCATCAAAGACTTTAAAGGCAGATATTCTTAAATTAATCCTAAATTCATCAACAAGAACAACATGGAGGCTATAAAGCTGTAGACAGCACTCAAGCAAAGACCCCAAAGCTCCTGGTCACAGAGCTGCAGAGATAATTATAACAGCACATCCACAGACTGATGTGTAATGTGTCAGGGTGTACACTATAGCACTACATTCACTGCTGGCAAAAATAGGAAAGCGAGGCCTCATGCTTAATCTCATAATTACAAGAAAAGGTCACCACTATCTGAGAAGACAAAGTGTTACACAGTCACAACATCCAGCTTTTATCTCCTTGGTTTGATAGAGTGAGGGATATTATTGATGTCAGTGAGCAAAAGGACATTATTATAACAAGACAGCTTTTGTCCATCACAGGACCATTGCTGTCTGTGAGCATATATAAAATAGTGGCTAATGCTGTATGGATTATTTTGTCATTTTTAGATAGTGTTCACATATTCATGAGATCAGAATGGATTAAATGGCTATTCTGTCTTATTTTTATATTTTTATACACTGTTCCTGTTCCAGACATTTATTAAACTTTATTAGATTCAAATTAAACATTGTCAAAGTTTTCAATAAGAATATGCCAAAAGCTCAGGCTTCAAGCTGCTCTCAAAAGGGATATTTAAGATGTCAGAGAGGGACTATCCCCTATATGTTAGTCTAAGGCACAGCCAGCTTTTCAGGCCGTCTGTTAATGAAGGAAAGGCCAATCAGAGGACAGCTGCCTTAACTCTTTCTTCCTTGGATGCCTACTATGGGTAAACACTTGTTTTTTCTTTTTTGAACTCAGTGCTTTCTGTCATATTTTAAGGGCTGTGTGTGAATCAGAAGTTAATGAGGTTGCTCGCCACCTATATAGCTTACTAAGGCTACTCACACCACATATTATATATATTGAGGTGTCATTAACGGTACAGAGAAGGTTGTCAAATGTTTTTACAGGTGAAAGAGTTAAAAGGCAGAGGAATTAAAACAGCTTGTTTCTGATAGAGGATGAACTGAGAGGATACACAAGGATGATTTTGAACTGTGAACCATGCAAAGCTACTCTAGAATTTGCGATTATGAAGTTTCTTCTCGTAACTGTAGCATCTTACTTGCCGTTGGAAATGATAACTCAGACACAAAATCTAAAATGGGGCCGTTTCTCTTTCTTTGATGAATGTGCTGTGCTCTCAGACCACACCGTTGGATCCACAGAGCAGGTTGTACTTCCAGCCTTTTCTTGACTGCTTGCTGTAGACTCTGTGTTCCTGTTTTTAACAGTCCAGCAATAAGTTTGTCTGACTTTGTTTCACTACAGCTGTGCTGAAGCTGATTCTGGTTTGGACTAGCTCAAAGCTCCACAGTAAAAGCTCTTCATGACTGTGGCCATTTTCCCACCAGAGATGTGCCTGTAAGTTCAGTGTTTCTTCACACTTTGCTCCTCTTCGAGTGGCTCTCTGCTGGAGGAGCCGCTCGCTTGTTGCGATGGTGAGGGAATGTTGGCATCAGCTCTGGTTCGCAGGCTGGAAAGAGAAGCACAGAGGCACACAGAATGACTCACGGCAGGTCGGAGGACAGACAGACGTCAGCTTGTGCATATCCGCAATCTTTATACTCACGTAGAGGTTTCTCTTTGAAGTACGAACTCTCCAAGCAATCTTTAGCAGTAGCTCTGAGAATCAGGAAAAATACAAGAAGTTAGTGATGCCTCGTATGCAAATTCATGAGACTCCTTCATTTTCCCCACAAAAAAAGCTTAGCTTTATCAGAGCTGTAGTCTAGATTCCAGCCAGAAACCAGTAGAGCTAAATGTACCTGCGCTGGGGGTTGTACATGAAGAGCAGGTTAAGCAGTCTGTGTCCAGCATCAGACAGCCAGGTGAATTTGTTCTTCAGGTTGTTGTATGGCTGCTTCCTCAGGCTGTACTGACCGATGAGGGGAAGCTGAGAGAAACCCTGTAACACACACAACAGATCTCATTTCTCAGCTTTGTGCAGACTGCAACCTATTTTAGACTAAACGAATAACTGAGGATTTGTATCAATGTCACATGTCTAGATATTAGAGTATTAGATGGAAAGTCGGTTCTTGTAGTTGGAGGCAGAAGAAGGAAAGACCTGAGTGATTTTACCAAGAACCAAACACTGAGACAGTAAGGCTTTTGAGTTGTGCCAATCATCGGCTGCTTTTAC